AAGAAGCATAGATACAAAAGGCAACTGTCAACCAGCTCCACAGGCGGCCCCGTCCAGGAAACACACAGCCAGGCAGACGAGCTCCGAGCCAGCTAGCTCGCAGCTAGTTAGCTTACAGCAGTAGGAGCTTCGACTGAAAGATGGAGCTTCATCAGCTCTTTATTTCAGCTCTGCAGAAGTTGAGCCGAGTCTCTTTGTTGGTTCGGCAGCTTTAATGCAGCAAATAATTGTCAAAATTCGTGACATCTGTTCTACGTTGCGTCTGCTGCTAGTTCTGCTGTTCTTACTAAATGAAATGTAGCCCATTATTCTTTAATTTCACACTTTGATTTCCCCCTCTGGCTCTTTTCTTATAAGAAGGTGCTGGGTTAGGGTTAAGGTAACCCTAACCCAGCACCTTCTTATAAGCAGCATGGTTTAAAGCGTGGGAAAAAAGTAGCAGCATATAGTCCGGAAAATACGGTAGTTTATTTTATGTCTTTGTGTAAAATGACTAATTGCATCGTGTGATGGTGTTAAACTGACACTCTTCTCCCAAAGGAGACAGTCGAGATATTTAGACTTTGACCTGGAAGGTGGGGACATTTTCTCCTCGTTCGATGTGCCTCAGTGTGAACCTGGCCTCCTTGGAACCTCCAGGTGCCCCCCAGTCCCCAGCCTCCCCCTCCAGCCAAAACCTCCAGTCCTGATGGTGAACGTCCAACGAAGTGCTCCTCAGAGGACCTAAAGAGAAGTTCACAGCAAGTGGAATCAAAACCAGAATTCTCAGATGCAACATAAATGCTCATCATTGCAATCTATCTTGTTGTCTTTTGATTTTATTTTAGGAAGATAAAAACTATATTACAGACTTGAACATATTCTCGTTTTTTTATTTGAATAGAAAATTACCAAAACCTTTGATAACCTAACAGTGTTATCTAATGGACAGAAATCACATTTAATACATTTAATTTTTCATTTTTGATACGGTTATGATATTATAGCTGTGAGCATCGTCTGATATAAATAATGCAACACAATAAACTCACAATAAACTCACAATAAACTCACAATAAACTCACAATAAACTCACAATAAACTCACAATAAACTCACAATAAACTCACAAGTAGACAGAGATGTGAAAAAGCAGAATTACAGTAAACTATGAAGTCAATATTCTGCCAAAAGTGCACGGGCACACATTCTATTCAGTTTATTTCTATAGCTCCAATTCACATCATGTCACTTTATAGATCCACATAAACCAGATCATCCAGTCAGATTGATTCAAAGTTTTCTATCTAA